TCACTTTCTCTCCTACTTTATGCTCCGAACATTTGGATCTCCTTTTATTCCCTGCACTGACCATTCTCGCACTGACTTTGGCTGTTGCACAAATAATTCCCTCTGCCTAGAACACACAGCTTCCCCTTCCACAGCTCTCTCTCACTTTCCCATGCTGCTTCTATCACCTTTCATCCTTTGGTTGGGTTACACAGCTTTTTCCCAGGGAAACCTTGCAGGTTAGGTTGTCCATGATTCCCTAAATCTCTCCCTTTATAATACTCATTATACCATATTGGTGACACTTGTTTAAGTGTCCACTTTCCCAGCTTAATTACTTCATTAAACACATCAGATGTCTTTTATTTCTTATTTAGTTTTTGGGTTTTGCTTTATCATTTTTAAAAATTGAAATATAGTTGATTTACAATATTGTGTTAGTTTCAGGTGTACAGCAAAGTGATTCAGCCATATATATGTATATATTCTTTTTCAGTTTATTTTTCATTATACGTTACTATAAGATATTGAATATAGTTCCCTGTGTTATACAGTAAATCCTTATTGTTTATCTATTTTATGTATAATGGTTTGTATCTGTTAATCCCAAACTCCTAATTTATCCCTCCCCTGTCCCTTTTCCTTTTGGTAATCATAAGTTTGTTTTCTATGTCTGTGAGTCTGTTTCTGTTTTGTGTAGAGATTCATTAGTATTATTTTTTAGATTCCACATATGTGATACCATATTTGTCTTTCTCTGACTTACATCACTTAGTATGATAATCTCTAGGTCCATCCATGTTGCTGCCAATGGCAATATTTCATTCTTTTTAAACACATCAGATGTCTTATTGGTCACATTTATTTTTTCCTTGAGACCATCCTCTAGGAACCCTCCATTATCCTGTTTAGACCAGAAGTGTTTGTTCACTAAACCTTCCATACAGCTATCAATCCCTGTTAGGTCCAACACTTTTTTTTCTGGTGGATTCTTTGCCAGATTCCATACTGTTTTCTCTATTGCTTTATATCCTTGGTTGGTGAAATTCATCCTCCAGGAACTTCATGAGAGTGGAGGCATAGAAATATATCTTTTTTGAAAACTTGCATGTTTGAAAATGTCTTTATTCTGCCTTTGCACTCGTTGTATACTTCAGATAGGTATAAAATCCTATGCTAAAAATCATTTGCCTTCTCATTGTTAATACATTTCCCTGGAGTTTTCTATTGTAAAGGGCTGATGTTGAGAATTCTAATATCCTTTTGCTTATAATTTTTAGAGAATCTATCTTTGTCCTTCTGGACCTGGAAGCTGTTAGCATCCTTTTCCTTCTTCTTAGCGTTCTGAAACCTCAAGGTGATATGCTTTGGTGGAGATCCTTTTCTTTCTTTATTTTGGTGAGTAGGTCCTTACAATCAGAGAGTGCATGTCCTGGGACTTCCCTGGCGGTCCAGGGGTTAAGACTATGCACTTCCAATGCAGGGGGTGTGGGTTCGATCTGTAGTTGGGGAACTAAGATCCCGCATGCCATGTGGTGTGGCCAAAAAATTTTAAGAAAGCGCATGTCCTTCACCTCTGGGACATTTTCTTATATTTCTCTTGTAGCTTCTTCCCCACCATTTTCTCTGTCTTCTCTCTCTGTGTAAATGTTGAAGTTCATAGACTGATTAATTTTCTTCTCTTTTCTTTCCTCTTGCCCATATATTTGTCTTTAGTTCTATTTTCTTTTTTCCCTAAGAGGTTATTGATTTTTAACTTCCTATCATTTTATTGGATTTATGTCAGATCCAGAGTTTCCCTGGTTCATTTTCTTCTCTGAATAAACTTTTTGCTCCTGTTGGTGTTGGGAAGTGGTGGTCACTTGGGCAATATGGGTGGACAGAGAGATTAGGGTCTGCTGTTCCTTTAATAGTGCCTTGACTAATCCCTACCTCCTGCCTTTGCTGATACCTGGTGCCTGCAATTCCTGAGCCTTTCTGAGATTTTTCAGCATGAGTTGGCTTGCTTTTCCCTTCCGTCTTCCACTGTAGGTACTTGGTATTCAGCCATCACAGCTTTGCTAACTCCTTCATTCACTGTTCATCTTCCAAGATGGTCATTAATATCTCTCATGCTCTACTGTAGTCATGACTATTTTCTTTAACCTTGTGGTTTCATACATTTTAAAATTCATTCACTATCATTTTGGTAGCATTTCAGAAGT